CGAGCATTGCACAAATTAGCCCAGAAAGCTGCCATCTTGCCAGTTTGTTGGCTTGGGTGACATGAATTGCTGGGTCTCAGTCCTGTTCTTGGGGGACACCTCTTTATAGCCCAAAATCCACAGCTGTGATTGGTGCTCTTGTTGACAATTTTTTCAGGGAAGTCATAGACTTCATGGGGCCTGGAGACTGACCTTCCCTTTCACCTGTACAGGTGTCCTCCCCTGTTCGTAAGTAAGGCGCATTGGTCGGAGCATGGTAGGGAAACATCCCCTGCCGCTACCTGTGCTGTGCCAGTTTTGAGGCTATAAACAGCCCTGAAGGTGTACCTGATCCAAAATGTAGCTTAGCTTTACATGAAGAGACTACTACCCCTTTTACATTCATGTTATTCTCTGTCTTTTCCTCCCACATTTCCCCTCCCCAGACTTGCCAGCCCCTAGGAAGAAGGAGGAGTCTGAAGTGAAGAGCGAGCGCCTGTACCAGCAGAGTCATTCTTACGTAGAGATGAACCAGCGGCTGCAGAAGGCCTGCAGTCTGCTGAAGGCGAAGTGCGAAGAGCTGAAGCAGGCGGGCGCGACTTTGGAACAGAATATCGTGGAAATTAAGGAAAAGGCCTTGTGAGGTTGTCTGACCTCTCTGGAATGCCGAGAGATTGGGAGCAGAGACAAAAAGCTGGCCCAGGAGGGTTTGCTCTTGACAGTAACAAGCCCCGCCTCCTAGTCCTGACACACTTCTCAATGTGCGTTAGACTTTCACAGACGTCCCCAGTGTGGCTTCTTGTTTCTGTATCCAAATCATAGGGCCAGAAAGCCACCCAACCAGGTAACCCCAGTGTGTGCTTTGATTTAATGGAAGATCTGGCACTGCTGCATCTTGCCTGGAATCTCCAAGAGCCCGCCAAGCCTCATGAATGCAGCTTCACAAGAGTCGCCCCTCATGCTCATTGGAAACGCTAGGGGGTATGTGAGGGGGGAGTTTCATCTTTAAAGCTAAAAATGCTACAGGATTTGCCTCCGTAACCCCTTCCCAGTGGACAGCACTGATCTCGTTGCTCATGTTCGGAAGGGACTCTTGGACCAGGCGTTTCGTTGAGCCATTAGGAGAACCTGATGCCAATTTCCAAATGGCAAGCTTGAACCTGACCTGGCTGGGGTAAGCGTGGGCTCCGGGCAGCCGCTGGCTTTTCCCAAGCTGCGTGTCACCGTCTCAGGTGCCCATGGTGACTGTTGGCATGACGTCCCCCTCACCCTCCAGGTTTACCTACGACTTCTCCATCTGGTACTGCCTCCATGACGACAATATTGCTTCCTGCATCTCCATGATGCTGAAAAAGCAAGGCCTCCAGGGTTATGCCGAACACCAGGACCAAGTGGCAGGGACGTCCATTCTCATGACGGCCACCGAGGTCATCCAAGCTAGCAGGGTCGCTATCGTCATCTTGTCGGCCAGCTCGCTGGACGACCCCTGGTGTCAGCGCGTCGTGGAGTGGAACCTGCATCATGTGATTGAGCAGGAGGGGACGAAGATGATCCCGGTTTACGTGGATGTGGAGAAAGAGCAGGTGCCTCTGGTTTTAAGGCATCTGAACGAACTCGACTACAGAAACAAATTCTTCGAGCGGAGGCTGCTGGAGAGCTTGAAAAGCAGCATGCCTCCAGCTGGCAGAGCGAGCGCTGTGCGCCCCTCCAAAGCGACCAGCGCCAAAAGCAGAGTCAGCCGATAGCAACTGGGACTTAGCAGCAGCAGCGCTGCTGCTGCATGGAGAAACTGAGCCCCGTGGACTTGGCTTCGGTTGATTCCTGCCAGGGGGGACGCGGCGTGTCTTGCCCTGTTCGTTTGGCATCCGGGGTTTGCTGTGGGCCTCGTTGTGGTGTTGGCAGTGAACTAATCTGCTTGGCTTTGCGCCTAGACTCGACTGAGAGAAGGCTTAGAAAATAAAGTTGTTGCTGGTGGGAGTTTGCTATTAAAATGCAGTGGGAATCTATATGGAATGTGAGCCGCTGCTCATAAATCTCCTTATTTAATAAGCTCTTATTAAAATCCATTCCTCAGAAAACTGAACGGACGAGTCTTTGTTAAGAGAGGGGCTGGGTAGGGATAAGATCAGGTCCTGCTGGGAGCCAATAATGAGCTTTATTCTCAGCTCTGACCCTGGCAGCCCCCTAACCCCACCCAACTTTTCATTGGCCGTGTCTGTCCTGGGTAACTAACTGGTTGTCTCCCAATGCTTTGCTACATTGATGCAGCTCACACCAGGCCCCTGGGAGCCCTGTCTGCACTAGCCGTTCCCAGTGTGGATAGCAACAGATGGCGATGTCCCTAAAACTGCTGGTGTAAAATAGGCTTGTGCCTCAATTTCTTTCCATCTGTGAAATGGGTGTAACAATGCTCGCCTGTTTTGAAGGGGAGGGGGAGTTGTGAGCACTAGTTAAAGTTTGTGATTTCATTGGAAGTCGTAATGACCCTTAGCCCTTATTTAGTGCTTTTCAGCACCAGAGCTCAAAGCGCTTTACAAAGGAGGTCAATCTCATTATCCCCATCTTGTAGATGCGGAAACTGAGGCACAGGGAGGGGGCGTGACTTGCCCGAGGACACAACTAGCATGCTATTGGAAGAGCTGGGAATAGAATTTAGGTCTTTGGAGACCCATCCCCTTGTACTGTCCACTAGCTAAGTACCGTGGACCTGAAAAGCCTGAGCACTTTCCTTCAGATCTCTGCTAGCACCTGGGCGTTGGCTCCACCCCAATTTGCTCATTGGGATGTTGTGCTCCCTGCAGTTAAGACTCTTCAGTGAGCATTGGGTGGTTAAGACCTTGGTTTTACATCTCAGAAAGAGAGCAGCAGAGCTCCGGGAGAGGAATTGTTTTATTACATGCTACAAGCACCAACAGAGCTTCTTGCATGGGCTGGGTGCCGGGGAGGCGGTCAAAGGGGCATGTTGCAGTCGATCACATAAGTGGTTGCGAAAATGAAGGTAGCGGCATATCTCTTTATCGTGACAAGGTCCAGGGCTGTGCAGTGGCTGAGAGCTGGCGCATGGGTGTGACAAGGTGACGGGGGTTGGGCGATCGGACTCTACGCTACAAACCTAGCTGGATGGGGGGAATGGGTCCAGATTTGTAATCTAGTCAGGCCCCAGCACCTGTTTCAGCAGCTCTTTGTGCCTAAAGATGTGCTCCTGGTCGAAGAGTGCACTAGAGAGGGAATTAAAAGGGGCTGGAAACTGCAAGGAAGCAGTTTACATCTTACTTCTGTCAGGGCGTGTGGGCTGGGGGATTCGGCTATGTGGTGCGGGGGGGGTGTTGAGGGGTAGAATGTCACAGAGGTGTCGGAATCTGGCCCCAAAGTGTTCAGGAAGCATGTAATGGATTAGGCTTGTTTTTTACACTCTCGCTCTTGACCACCGAGTTCCTGTTTTTATGGCGGTAGCGAGGTGAGCACATGCTGTGTAGCAGCTCCTCTCCTCTCCCTGCCGGTAGCCTTCGCTCTGCAAACCTCACACCTCCGCCTCCTGAGAGCCCTTTCTCCCCCTGCCGCAGAGGAGAGTCGAGTGCGCTCGGGGAAGGAGCGGGGTATATAACTACGAGCGGAAATGCCCCCCGGCAGAAGCGGTGGGGCGACGACGTCTGCAGACGGCTCAGCGTGGCGGCAGCATGAAGGCAGATGGGAAATTGCTCTTCCTGGTGCTGCTGCTCCTCCCCCTTGGGAAGGCTGGTGAGTGGGTGGTCGCATGGCGCCGGGGAGTGGCAGGATGGTCCGGTGGATAGGAGCCCAGGGCTGGGAATCCGGAGGGCTGGATTCTAGTCCTGACTCTGCCCCTAATTTGAGGGGGCTCAGCTGAGCCACTTCTCCTCTCTCTCTGCCTCAGTTCCCCCATTGGTGAAGGACTTTGCCTTTCTCTGAAGCATCCAGTACCAGCAGCTGCTGGAGCCAGGCCTCTGGACGTGATGGGTCAATAGACTGATGGTTTAATGTGGCTGGGGGGGGAATCCGGGGCTCCTGATTCATACTCCGATGCCCTGCCTGCTGGACTGGAGTTAGCTACCTCCAGGCGTCAGGGCTTATACACCCACGGGCATAGTTGGAGCAGCTGGAACATGGATCGGTTCCAGCCTGGTAGTGCTGGGATTCGAACACACCTCCCTTTCCAGGGTTTGGGGTGAGAATTGTCCCCTGCATCTGCCTTGCTCCCCATCCCCGTGCATTGGGGCACGTCGTGCTGTTTCTTTACAGCAGGCCAGCTCCAGTCTTCGATCATTGGAGGACGCGAAGCATTGCCTCACTCCAGGCCCTACATGGTGTCTATCCACAAAGGAGACATTCCCGCCTGCGGGGGAGTCCTAGTCCACGCACGCTGGGTGCTGACGGCTGCGCACTGCTACACCGACCTGTGAGTACAGAACCCACCCCTGGCTGGTGGGTTCCCGCAGATTAGGGCCAGAGGAGCAGGCTCCCGGCTCGGCCAGGAGGAGCAGGGGTTGCTTTGCTGTTGCGGGGGCAAATAGTGAAACCTGGATTTAAGAAATGCCAGAGGAAAAGCCTTGATGCCAGCCCCAGGGAGGAAAAGGGCCATTATTTACTGAACACCTGTAGGAATCTCACCAACCAGTAGAGCAGCAAACTAGGAACCCTGAAGGTCATTCAGCTAGGCAGGCGCGCAGGGTCAGGGTTGGTCGTGAGGTGTAAATGGGGGGGATTGAATACAATTGGGTTCTTTTTCCAGCTCCTCCGTGGCTTTGGGTGAGCCAGATAAGCCACATTTTTCAAAGGGGACCTCTGATTTGGGGTCTGTTGGCCTGATTTTCAGAGGCGGCTGAGAGCCTCCAGCTCCCCTGATGCCCACTGGAGTTGTGGGCGCTCAGCCTCTCTCGGAAGAATCTGGCCCAAAGGTGTGTCGCGGGCTGGGCACCCCAAAACCAAAGCACCCCAAATCAGAGGTGTTTTTTTTTTAAAGAAGTGGTCTGAATGGCCCTGACCCTCAAAGGTATTTGGGCACCTAACTTCCAATGGAAATTAGACACCTAAATACTTTTGACGAATCTGGGCCAACGTGCCTCCCTCTGTATTCCCAGATGATACTTGCTCGGCTCATGGGAGGCGTCTGCATGCAGAGCCCATCTGCCCTCAGCACACCAGGGGCATGCCAGGAGGATCAGTGGTGGGGCCAGCGTCACTGGAGTCATGAGTCAAGAGCTGGGGGAACATGCTCCACCAGAAAGCCGACTTGCTCCTCTGACTGCAGGCTTAGCTTTGTGCCTCCCCGACGGGGTGTTTCCATTGGGATAGCCGGGTGTCCGCAGTGAGGGTGCGAACTCTAGAGAGGCTTTCTTTTTGTGTCTCAGGTGTAAGGGTCTCATTAGGGTGCTCGTGGGTCTCCATCAGCAGCCCAGGGGAAATGCCCGAGTGCAGGTCTTCACTGTCGCGAAGTTTGTCCCGCATCCTTCCTACAACCACAGGACTTTCGCAAATGACATCATGCTGCTCAAGGTACGTGGGCTTGCTAGGGAGCCATGGGCACCAGTTATTCTGGCTTCTGCTACAGGGGGCCCGTCCTACGAGGCGGCAGCGTCTGACCATGTGGCTAGGGCAGTGGAGTGGGTTCAAATCCTGGCTCTTCCTGTTGTGTGGTCTTGGGCAGGTCGTGTTGCCTCTGCCTGCCTTAGTTTCCCCCGTCTGTAAAATGGAGGTAGTAATAGTCCCTAGCTCTTATCATCCGTGGATCTCAAAGCACTTTACAAAGGAGAGCAGAGTTGTCATCCTCCTTTTACAAATGGGGAAACTGAGGCACACCGAGGGAAAAATGACTTGCCCGAGGTCATCCAGCGGGTCAGTGGCAGAGGCAGGACTAGAATGCAGCTGTCCTGAGTCCCAGCCAGTGCTCTAGCCACTAGCCCACGCTGCTAACGATATCAATCTTTCCTTTGTGGATGGAAAGCGCTGGGTTAGGACCCTCCGAGGCAAGCCGGGGCATTCAGCACTGCGTAGGATTTACTCCTTCCTCTGTTCCTCCATCTCAGGGTAGGGGGAAGGTTGAGTGGGGTGAAGCGGAGATGGGGGGTGCGGGGGGGGGATGTCTCTCTGGAGGCCTCTCCTGCGGCGGCGAGAAAGGTGAGATTCAGAAGTGACAAACTGCCTAACCCTTACAGGAAATCTTTAACACTAGCAGCGCTCTCTAGCCAGCCTTGAGTCATTCTCAGCTCACACCCTCGCCTCCGAGGTGCTGGAAGGTGTGCAGGCTGGCCTTGCTTTCGCTGATGGGTAAAGTGTTTCCCGGAGTCTGGCCTCTTTAACCGAGCGAAGGAGGCTTCTCTTTGTCCCTCAGCTGCTTCCCAACAGCTAGGAAGTCTCATTCCTCCCACCCCTTCCCGCCATCCCTCGGCTTCTGGGCCTGCACAGTTTCCTCTAGGGCTGGATTTGGGGCTTGGCAGCCTGGGTGGTGGTGGGGGGGCGGAGTAATTCAGTGATTCCTAGATTCTGGGCTGTTCTAGGTGGGGCTGGTGCAGCCTTTCATGGATGTTAGAGCAGTCGCCGAGGCACCTGCTCTGCACTCCCCACACCAGCGTCTGCAAAGGGGGGCCGTACACGCTGCCCCTGTTTGGGGGAATTCTCCCAGGAGCCCTGTGGCACATAGGGGCGTTAGGAGAGGGCTGGAGCCAGGCCTCTGGCTGTTGGAGACTGGCCAGGCTTGGCTAGTAGGGGTTGGTCTCCATGTGTTTCTCAAACCTCCTCGGGTTGTGGACTCCCCCACTTAAGACAGACCATCTCCCCAGCCTAGGTCGCTATAGAACTTGGGGATGCAAAGAGTCCCATTTGGGCTCTTCGTATCAATGGCACAAAGCGAGCCCGGGACAGGGCCACAGCCTGCAGGAGAAGCTGGAGGCATCTCCACTGAGATGGAAGCAGCTCGGGGGGGACCGCAGTGGTGCTAGGGCTGGGAACCTTCCTGCAGCCTGGTGGAGTCTGTCCCCAAGGCCTGACCTTGGCTTTCGCTCCTGCCTGCAGCTGGACAGGAAGGTGGTTTGGAACAAGGAGACGAGCCTTCTCCCGCTGTCCAAGAAGAATCCGGCTCCGGGGACGCCGTGCAGCGTGGCTGGCTGGGGGAGGTTCAGAGAGGGAAGCAAGTATTCCCCCGTCCTGCGCGAACTCGACGTCAAGGTGATGGACATCAGGATGTGCAACAACAGCCGGTACTGGCATGGCGAGGTCACCAGCACCATGATGTGCTTCGAAGGGGTCGAGAAGGGCTCTGCCCCCTGCCAGGTGATGGCTTAACAGCAATGCTGGTCTAGAACGGGCTGATGGGGGAGAGTCCCCAGCTGGCTGTGTGCAAGGGGGACGGCCTCGTTGCCAGACTGGCGTGCTTAGCTGCCTGTTCTCGAGCGTGCATGGAGACCTAGCTAAGAGTGTGCCCCAGACCTAGCTAAGATACTGAAGAACCCCGGGGGAACATGGCAGACACTGACAGGCACAGGTGCCGACTTGCTGATTTCCCTGGGGGTGCTTGCTCCCTGCTCTGCCCCAGGGCCCGCCCTCAATCCACCCCTTCCCCCAAAGCCCCACCCCTGCCCCTCCCCCGAGTATGCCTGGCCCTTGCTCCATCTCTTCCTGCTCCCCATCCCCCCCAGTGCCTGCTGCTGAACAGCTGATCAGCAGCGGGCAGGAGGCACTGGGTGGGGAGGGGGAGGAGCTGATCAGCAGGGCCCGCCACGGGGTGCTGAGCACCCCCTGTTTTTTTCCATGGGTGCTCCAGCCCCGGAGCACCCATGGAGTCGGCGCCTTTGCTGACAGGGATCCCAGGGGGTTTGGCCACGTGTTCTCCCTGGGAATCGTGTCCCATTTTCCATCCCCGAGGCTTTGACCCTTTTTGGCAGGCGAGGATAAGTGAGGTGCAGGGAGCTGCTGGCCAGGGTCTCCCCACTCCTTTGAAGGCCTTGGTGGCGGGCTTGGCAGAGACGCCAAAGACTGAATGGGCCATGGAGATTTGCCCCTCGGTCAGGGCTGAGCTCCGCTGGGGCATGTGTGTGGGATGCTTGCCCTACTCTGCACCCGCTCTGGGGAGCGAGGACTCCAGTCTCCAGGGCTGTCAGTCAAGCCCCTTTCACCAGCACAGGATTTGGCCCAAGTTGTTGGTTAGCTCCAGTCCTAGGACAACCCTCATGCTTGCCCCGTGCAATGTGCCCCACTGCCTCTCTCCTCCCTGTTGCTTGGCGCCACTGCCTCTGTGCCCTTCCACGCTCCTGACCCTCATCCCAATGCTGCGCGGGGCCCTCCCAGGCTAACAGATGCTGTGTACTCTGTGCTGTTGCAGGGTGATTCCGGGGGCCCTGTGGTGTGTGGCAAGAAAGCGGAGGTAGCTGGCGTGATCTCCTTCACGGGCAAAAGCTGTGTCAACATGTTCAAACCGCCCGTCGCGACGGCTGTCTTTAAATACAAGACGTGGATCAAAAAATACCTACGCTGGGGCTGAGCCGTGTAACTGCAGCATTATCTGTAAGCTTGCCTGTCCGTCTCCTCTGCCCTGTATTGACCCCTCCTGGCTTTCCTATGCTGCCCAGGTTAGAGATCAGCTCACTCCCCCAGCCGCATGTGCCTCATCCATCCGTCTGGGCACTGCTGGTGCAACTCCACCCCCCCGTGCCTACCTGTTCTCTTACAGAGGCTTCAGCTCTGTCCTTCTCTCTCTCGGGCCTGGCATGCAAACTGTCCGCCTGCGTCACACTTCCTGCTGCTGATTTGAAATAAAAGTGAAACCTCATCTGGGTGTGTGTGTGTGTGTCTCACACTGTGGCTGCCCTGGCTCCAGCTGACACCACAGCCGTGTCTTGTAACTAAGCTAAAGTCTTGGCCAGACCAACTCGGTGTTGGAAATTGGAACTGGGGTAAGGGACAGCTGGGTGTGAGTAGCTTCCCTGCCCGGAGAGGCACTTGCTGCCTCCTGTAGCGATTACAGAGAGGCAGGAGCCTCTAAACATTTCCCCACATCACCTCCCTGGGCGGGGCACGGTGCATCTACGCTACCTGGGGAAGCCCAGCTAGCCCGCGAGATATGCTACACAACCACTGTGTACTGTATGTGGGACACTAGCTGGGTTCAAAGATGAGGTTTTCCCAGCTCTGTGCATGGTCTCTCTGGCCAGAGTATCTGAGAGCCTGACCGCAGCCATGGTGTGAGAGGTTGGCATTATCCCTGTTTTATGGCTGGGGAAACTGAGGCACAGAAAGGGGTGTGTGTGTATGTCCATGTTAACTCTGAGAATTAAACCCAGATTTTCAAGCCCGTGCCTTAACCCTAAGCCCACCCTTCCTCGGGTGAGCAGGACGCTGTGCCTGTGAATCACCAACTCCTCAAGCCACAAGGGGAACCACCTCTGGTTATTAAATGAAAACCCCTCCCCAGCCCCTGCCGGCTCTCTCCTCCCCCCTCCACCCCAACCACCATTTCCAATTGGCCACGCAGTCCTTATTAGCAGAGTGGAAAATAAAGAGAACCACTTCCTATTTACATAGCTTTAATTTTAATACTGTCCAGTGCCCCAGTAAAATAACATCCTTAGTACATACAGACAGCAGGTGGGGGAAGAAACCAGTAGCAAAGAACAGGACGGCTCAACACCCAGCGCATTGCTCGACAGAAGATGGAAGCCGGGGGTAACAGTTAGGGGATGCTAGGCTAACAGAAAGCACAGCTGGGGGGAAGTTGTGTTTTAAAGTTAAACAAATGGTTACTGCAAAAATGGTGAGGTAATGCAGGCGTCCCCTGTTACTACAGGTGTGTTGTACCCTGAATTAATTACAGCATTCGGACTGGATGGTGTGTGTGGCTCCTGAGGGAGGGAGGGTTCAGGCTCTTTCTTTCCCTGGGGGAGGAGAGATGAGACCTTTGCTTGTTTAACCCCATGGCTGGCTGGGAATTTGCCACCGTACCAAGGCTGAACCTACGCGTGGAGCTGACTCCCGCGGCTCTGAGTTTGCCACAACGAAGGCCTTCCCCGCCAGGGTTGTGAGTGGTGATGTCCTACAGAGCGAGGTGCTGTGGGCCCCACACAGTGGGATGGAAGGGGGGGGGGTTGCCCCCATGTTACAGCACAACCCTTTGGGGAGTGATGCAGGGGCCATGCAGCTGCCATCCCTGCGGGGGAGCCAGCATCTCTGCAAGGGGATCAAGGCTGTTGAGTGCCACAGCTGGGGTTGGTGTGGGCACGTTGGGTCCAGCAGCTGCTGTTTGAGGCCTTGGGCCAGCACGTGTTTGGAAGGGGCAAGACAGGCAGCTGGAGGGTAGGAAAGCTCAAGCCACGACACGTGTGCTGAGGCTGGAAAACCCACCTGCCCCAGCACGCTTCCCTTGAGATCAAGGAGCACAAACCCCATCAGGAGCTAAAGTCCTGCCTCTAGCCAGTGCAGCAATTGGACCCTAGGGTGGATTGCAACACGGTGCCTCACTGCTACCGGTACAACCAGAAACTCTCCTAGCTGCAACCGCTAGGGCCCTGTCCAGCCTGCGCCAAGGACGGGCCCGAGGGGCTGCCCCTGTCAGCTGCACGCCAGGCCCCACAACGGTAAGGTGCCCCAGCAGCCCCGTTCTGCCCCCCCTTCATTTTTGTAACAAGAGTTGCAACGCATGTGACTCAAGCCCCTTCCAAAGCGAATTAACCCACCGCTCCCCAGGGAGAGGGAAGCGGGAGCGTTAGCTCGTCTACAGCTAGTGAGGCAGGCAGGGGGCAAAGCAAGTGGCCTTGTTCAGGGCAAGAAGCAGGCCCCACTTTGCTCTTTTGGGCACCCGGGGCGTCGCTCAAAACCATGCAAAGCCAAGGGGGAAACCGCTGCGGTTCCAACTTTGTGGCATTTCACACCCAGTGTGCATGGGTGGAAATCACCACAGCAGCCCTGAGCCAGCCAACCCCAAACCTGAGGTGGTTTTCGCTGTGTAGCTTTGCAGAGCAGGGCCTGGCTGACAAGGCTAGCAGGCTGGACTCAAGCTGGGGAGCTGGCTATAGGGGGCCAGGACCCCCCACCCCTACACTTCCCCTGCTCGCACACTGAGTGCGGCCAACATAAAGCGCACAGCACCAGGCCTCATACACAGGCCAGGCCTCCGCTTTCAGCACTGCTTCAAAACGCCCAGCGAAAGGAGGAAAAAAACATGTAAGGGAACTTCCTGCTGCAGGATGTATTTAGCAGCTGCTGGGGGAGAAGGGGTACAGGCTGGCCCTCCTGAACCCTCCTGGCCTCACACAGCCCATCCAATGGCTGTTGGGGGGGGAAGGGAGGGGCTGTGACTTGGTGGATTTAGTCCAGTTCTTAGTGGACCCATCTCCACCCCATAAAAACCATTGTGGCACTGATGGGGGCCTATCTGCCAGGCTGCCAGTCCACCCCAGGCACATGGGACGGGCGATGCCCAACCACGGCCCTGCTCTGTGATCGACCGGAGCCTTTCAGCTGCAGGGCTGTCCTTTCGCCAAGCCTAGCGTCACTCAAAAATATGACACGTCTATATTTTGAACGGCCTATAAGGCTCTGCCTAGCTCCTGAAAGCATCGTCAGGGGCTTAGTAGAGTGGCTGGGGAAGGGTTTTTCCATGAAAAAAATCAAAAGAAACAATATTTTGCAGCCCTTATTGGTGACGCATTGTCCATTTTCAGTCACATGTTTCTGTTTTGAGAGGTTTTTAATCAAAAACTGGAATTTTGTTGGGGGAGGGGGTTTCTGTTGAAAAACTGGAAATTTTGGCACCTTGAGGACTTAAAATGTAGGGGCCAAGGGCCTTTCATGCAGCTCCAAAATGAGGCCGTTAGATGCACACGTCCCCTTTGTGAATGCCAGCCTCTCAGTCCGGACTACAAATGTGGTGGCGCTGTTGAATTTGCCCCACTTCCAAAGTGAATAAGAGCGTCCACACAGGGAAGTCTTCCTGAATAGCTGTTCCTGAGTTGCTCCAGGTTTAGAGAAGCCCTTGTGCTCCTAAGCCACTTAGACACTTTTGAAAATGTGTCCCCCCCCCCCAGTGTTTAGTACTTTCAGTGAGTACCTTGTACGACTCTCACTCTCCATTGGAGCTGGTACGTATATGACCCCCCCTCCCCCATTACCATATCACCTGGCCAACTTACCACGTTTAATCCTCATAACCTCCCTGGGAGGCAGGGGTATGTCCTTATTTTACAGATGGGGAAGTGAGGCACAAGGAGGGCCACGGTCACCCAGGGAGTCTGTGACAGAACAAGTCCTTGATGCCAGCTGTCCACAGGCCTAAGCTACAGCCACTCTGCCGGCCTTTCCACCTAAGGCTGCAACATCTCTGGTAGCTCTGCTCTGTCCTTGTTCCCACCTGCCCTCTCCTAACCCACTGTCCCCTTCCTGCCCATCATCTCCTGTTTCTACAGCGTGTCTTGGGGCGGTGCATGTTTCCCCAGCTAGGTTTGTTCAGCACCCGGCCCATTGCGGAGGGGGGAGGCACTGGGGATGCTACTGTATTACAGATATTAAATAGCCATCTTTATCTTTCATTCAAAAGGGTCCCAAAGCATTTTGCACAGCACAGACTGAATAGTGGCCCCTGGGAAGTCAGTGACGAAACTTACATAGGCTTCAATGAGACCAGGATTTTGCCCCGTACAACAGCACCTTTATATGCAAGTATCTTCATCTGCCACTGAAATAAAGCCACCTCTGGGGCTGAACGTGGTGGCTCCTTTCAACAGCACACAGCAACGCTGCCAGCTGTGGCAATCAAGCTGTGCCCTGCCTCCAGCTGGAACACCTGGATAATTCTAGGGAGGTGGAATGGAATAGCCCACCTTGGAATCAAGCCATGACCTGGTAAGAACACCTGCCTCTGTCATAAAGACCCTGCACGTTGTCATCGCTACTGCGAAGGGATCTGGGCGGCCTGCAAACGTCTATTCCTTTGGAACCTACCATACAATTATCATTCAGCAGATTTAAATAAAAAATCTGGCATTCTGATTAATTCAGAACACTCTTGAAAGAGAGCGGGCACTGGCCAAACTGACACCCTCAGAACGCATCTTTTTTGTAAAATACCACTTCACGTCCCGCCCCTACAATCTGCCCTCCTGAGCCTAGGAAGCCACGTCGGCAGTTTCCCTCCGAGCTTTGCAACATTAATCAAAGCCAAATCTGACCATGCTGGACAAAGCCTGTAACAACAAAGCCCAAACATGTGGTAGGCAACCCCCTCTGCTTTTGATCAGGCAAGGCCCTGAAACAAACAAGGAGTCCCAAGTCCCAGCATACCTATAAAGCACAGTATCTTTGGGAGCAGGAGTGAGGATGGAGAGAGAGAGAGAGAGACGTGCCTCTTTCTCTCTGCCTCCTGTTTCCCGCTTGCAAATCAGAAAGTCACTCCCCTGCCACTGACCTCAATGGTGCGATGCTGGTGTCAAACCACGAGAATCAGGACCATATTTTTAAGGGGAGATTTCCACTCCATGCCTATGGAATTAGGCACCCAATGAGCAACTCTGCCTCAGAGGCCAGGGTCAAGGGGCACTGGTACGGACCTCGCTCCTTTCCTCACATCCCACCGAGCCTGCGACTCCCACCCCTTGTCTGGGAGGTGTTGGAGAGCAAACTGGACTAACTACCAAAGGGAGGCCCTGATGCTCATTAGGAGTCGCTTCTGGCCCCACCTTTAGCGCAAAGCCTGCATAGTGGGGCTGAGTTTATAAAGAGGATGAATGGCATAAAGCAGCCTCTCCCGCCCAGACCCGTCCCCTCACCCGCCGAAAAAACAAAAATGGCCTTTCCTCACCCCAGCTCCTTGGCGTTCCCCCATGTGCTGTGAGAAGTGTTTCCATAACAACCCTCCTCCCTTGGCGATAATAAGGTGCTGTTCTGCTCCCCCCCAGACACTGGGTGACACCCAACGCAAACACAATCCCAGCAAGTTAGTCATTAGCAGATTAACCAGTCACCATAATTACAGGCCTCGTGCTGCGCAAATGGCTGGTTCCGTAACGGGGAGGTTCTGCCCGTCTTCTGTTCCCCATTGTAGAATCCTCCCCAGATCCCCTCACCCCACCCCTCTCCCGCTCTGCTTTTGGTCCATGGGTGGGTTTCTGAAGGTGTTTCTATAAATTAGCTGAGATTATTTGGATACATAGATATTAGTGCCGACATGTGAGACAAAGCATGCAGCTGAGACCTAAGATTAAGGCTTTTGCTTGAAGCATTCTTGGTGGTTGGGTTTGTTTTTTTAAATAGAAAAAGCAGCAATCCCACTTCCCTTTGAAATCTCGACCTCCTGGGAGAACTTAGAGAGACCCCAGTGAATCAACGACCGCTGTAGGTTGTCCTCAGATCGAAAATCCCAAGTGTGCTTCAATGAAAGCGTGGAGAAAATGGGCCTACAGCCCCTCCTGGCATTGGACTGTCTAGGGGGGAAGTTGGCCGATCGCTGCTTCAAAGTTCTTCAACAACTGTGAACTGTGAGGCCATCAAGATGTCCCGTAGGCTTCACTGCAAAAGTCCGTCCCTTCATGCAGGACACCTGTGGCCATCTAGACTCCACGGATAAAAATCCCTCTCCTTAAACTAGAGTGTATGGTGATCAGACATCGCAGAGAAGACACTGGCACAGCCATCAGCAGAACACAGATGTCGGGGGATAGGGGTGGGCCGTTACCTGGTTCTTTCCCAGTGCCCGACGGTAAAACTTCCAAAGCTCCATTAAACAAAAAAGAAAGGGCGGAGAGAGTAAAGGAATAAATACTTGCTTTTCTCCAGGTGTTTCATGTGTGTCTCAATCAAAATTGTCACTGGCCAACAGTTACATCAACGCAAAAGTTCCTCCTTGGTTTGTTAAGCTCGAGAAAACAAAAACGCTGCTGCTTCTGTCTCTTTATGAACAAGAGTTTTGTCCTTACGGCGGTGCAGGAGTGAGAGTGCCTGGGGCTTTGTTTGTTTCTTAATACACTATCACCAAAGTTGAGGTGTTCTTTGCATTTGCAATAGCGGCTTAAGCTGGCATTTTTTCAAGCGATTTGTTGTTGATCATTGGTGCCACCATGGGGCTGGGAACGTAGTTGAAGGGAGTCACCCGGGCGGATCTACTGGGAGAGCTGTGCCTGCTGGAGGGGAAGCTCCCAACAGAGCCAGTCGGCCCTTCGTGGCCGAAGGAGATGGGCACAGTGCCCTTGATCGAAGTCAGGCACTCTGTCTCGCTCTTGGGCATCTCCCGGGTCTCCAGCGTTGGAGAGGTGCTGGAGTTGGTCTTGGTGGTGGGGTAGTCCTCAGTTTGCACCACAGCATCACTGGTTTTCCTCTGGATGGGGATCTGAGCTTTGGGGGTCTCCTCCTCCAGGGTGCTGACCAGAGGCAGGGCTGAGGAAGGCAGGGTGCTTTTGAGGATGTGTGGGATGTCTTCGTCTCGGATCCTTCTCCAAGTACCCTTCATCATCGCCATCTGCTGCTTGTCCTGCTGCCCCGGGTTCCCCACTGCAGGATTCGGGGTCAGCTTGGAGGCCTCTTGGCTCTTCCTTCTCCTGGCTGACGACTCGGAGCAAGAGGACAGGACGGAGGAGGGGCTGCTGGTCCTCTTGATGATGCTGATGTTGGGGGAGGAGGAATACCTCTTGAAGGGCTCGGGCGAGGGGGTGTTGGTCTTCACAGGCAGCCGGGAAGGGCTCTCGGAGCTGGTCCTCCGAGGAGGCCTCTCACTGGGAGAAGTTTTGTTGTTGGCCGGGGTCCTTGAGATGACTGGCCTCTGGCTGGTCACCACCGGCTTGGCCACCTTGAGCTCTTCGCACCTGGAGGAACACAGGAACACAGCTGGGAGGCCTGGCCTGCTCCTCTTGGGGGAAGCGCTCTGAGACAGTGAGGACATGGACTCGCAGGAGGAGAGCTCAGAGCGGTGCCTCATGATGAGGCTAGAGGACTCCTTGATGAAGGTGAGCTGCCTCAGGAAGCCGGACCGGTCCGACTCGCTGCCGCTGGACCGGGCCGAGGACATCCGCACCAAATTGAGCCGAGCAGTCGGCAGGATGCCCTTCCCATTGCCTTTCAGCTTAGGGCTGCCCACGTGCTCTTCCAGCACCGGCATGGAGCTCCTGGCTGGCAGCATCTTCTTGTTTGGCTTCTGCATGAATGGGATGCGGACGGGGGATTTCTGGGTCTTGTGCTGCTTGGTGGCTGGGGATTTCTGGGGGGGCGCTTTGGGGGCGGAGCCTGTTGGGGAGCTCCTGCCCACCTTCACCCCCTGAGATGGCAGCTGCTTGTTGAGCTGGGAGGGCGACGTTAACTTCTTCTGGGTGGGCTGGGAGGGGGTGGAGGTCCTAGAGGAGCCCGAGGAGGGGGGCTTGGTGATCCTGGCAGGAGGGGTGGCGCTCCTCTTGGGCAAGGTGAGGTCGGCCATCTCCGAGGCCTTCCCCAGCCTGTGAAGACTCCGTGACCTCTGCTGGCTCAAGGTGAGGTTTTGGATGGTGGCTTCGGGCTTAGTTGTGGCTGTTTTCTGTGGGGTGGACCTGGGGCTCGGGGAGTCCTTCACCGCGCTGGGCACATAGATCACTGTCCTGCCTCGGAAGACCACTGGCAAGTTCGACATTGGCTTCTGATGGCTTACATTTTTCTCCGCCCTGGCATTTCTGCCCCCGGCGTCCATCACTTTCTTGCTCTCCTGAAAGACCATCGCATGGTCTCTCTTCTCCACCTCACGGCCTACCCCACTCCTAGCCCGCTTCTTATCCTTCCTGTCCAGGGACAGCTGCAGGGTGGGGCCGACAGACAACCCTGACACGAAGGAGAGGATGGAGTCAGACTCCGAGGAAGGCTCCCTGGAGAGGGATGCTGCGGCCTGATGCAGCCACGTGACGATGGAGTTGGCGCCTTCTTGGATGGCCTTCCACTCGACGCTGTCCAGGTCCGAGCCTTTGTCCGACACCATCTCGTCCGCTGGGTTGTGCCTCGGCTCCGGCTTCCGTTCCTTGCCAGCGGCGCTCTTGGGGTTGGCACCTTTCAGCTTCTGCTTGTGCTCGGCGTTCCTGCGCCGAGCGGAGTGCCGCCTCCTCCTGGGCAAGGTGGAGCCGATGCACTTCTGCAGCAGGTCGTCGTCCGAGGTGAAGCTCAGGGAGCTGGGGGAGCTGTCCCTCTCTCTGGCTAAGGCCCTAGAGGCCGCGCTTTCTTGCATCCGGCTAAGGGTCAGCTGCCTGTTGGCCTTGTACAGGGTTGTCCGCTCCTCGTGGTCACAGAGGTCGATGTCACTCAGGGAGCTCATGGAGGAGCTGAGGGAATAGCAGGGCGGCGTCTCGTCCACGATGAGGTTGTTGTGGAGTTTGGCGGCCATCTTGGTTTTGGCCTGCAGCAGCTGCCTGGAGCTTTGCTCCGGCTCCTTCTTAGGGGCGGTGCCGCTCCAGCGTTCCTTCTTCTGAGCCTGGGCAGGGCCGGCCTTCCTCTTAGGCGAGTCTCTCCGCACCTCCAGCAGGTCGTCGGAGTCGTTCTCATAGAAGCAGTAGACGGCCTCCTCGGTCGGCGTGGTGTGGCACAGGGACTGAAAGGCCATACCCCCGGGAGCACTGTCCTCACAGGGAGCACCCTTCCTGAGGGGGACACCCTCCGGGTGGACCCCCGCCCTGCCAAAGTCCAGCTCCAGGTTGGGTCCATTCTTCAGGGGAGGTAGCCCTCTCTTCACCTCAGCTGCTTGGCCCCTGCCTGTCTGGACAGGGCTGCCATGTCTCGACCCGCCCTTCTGCTGGTAGGCCGTACTCATCTTGGTGGGCGTCGAGGAGTTGGAAGCTGCTTTCCTGCCTGGCGCGGGACTCAAGCTCCCTTGCTCACGGTGTGCTTCCATATTGCACCCCACCGGTGGCCCCGCCACTTCTTTCCTCTCCAGCCTCTTCCCGGGGCCGCGCTTGTGGTCAACCTCCTCCTTCAGCGGGTACTGGAGGGTCTCGTCGCTCAGGGAAGCGGCGCTGGAGAAGTTGATGGGGGTGCCTTCTGCGGAGTCGGTGAAGGAGTCGTCATCCTTGAAGAGGTCCCGGGCGGCAGGTCGCAGGTGTTTGGGGACGCCCCGGTGCGAATGGGTGGGCACCAGCATGTAGACCGGCATGTGCAGAGCCTTTTTGGTCTGAGGATTCAAAACCTGACTGGGCAGGCTGGAGACAAGGGAGGTCTTGACCTTCCTGAAGCGTGAAGGCATGGCTGAGTTGATGCATTCCTTCAGGATCTCGATATCATCGTCTGAGTTGAGCTCTGGACGCTCCAGCTTCCTCTTGCCCTCCCCGAATCTCTCTTCCCGCCTGTCCTCCTGCTTCTCGTGTGCCACGAAATTCAGGCTGTTCCTCTCGGGGAAAGGCGGCATAAGCTTCAACTCCACGTCCTTCTGGATGTAGTGCTCGTGAAGGGGCAGGGCACTTAGGCTGGAGGCGCAGGAGAAGTTCTCGTTGGGTTTCTCCACTGTGAAGTAGATCATGGAGTCCAGGTCTTGGGGCAGCTGGAAACGCTCCTTGAAATCCGTGATCTCCATGAACTTCTTGACGTTGTTTTCCCACTGGATGTTGAACTGGCTGGTCTCCTTCTCCGGCTGGGATCCCAGTTCGAACAGGGGCGTCTTGCTGCGGCTTGGGGGCATGGTCTGACCGGGGCTGTCCGGCAGCTCACTCGGGCTGATGGTGCCACTGATCATCTCACTACAGGGGTCGCTCTGGATGGAGCTGGCAATGGATGGGCTTTCAAAACTGCCCAGGGAGCTGACCGAGCTACACCGGCTCATCACCAGAGGGGTCTCCTGAATGTAGTTCTCCGAGGAGCTGGACGGGGTCAGGTCCTCGTGCCGGGATGGGGACGATTCCCTCAGGAAGAGCTTGTCGCGCTTCTGGAAGGGGATGGCGATGGGTTGGGAGATCCCTCCTGGCGTGGCTGGGCCCAGATCCGCCGCCTTCACCTTCTCCTGTCTCCTATCGCAGGCCTCGGCTTGCTCTACGTCACCTCCGGCCTCGGCGCCCTCCTCCACCTCGATGATCTCCAGGGAGGAGTCGCTGTCCACCTCGTTCTCGCTGTGACTCTGCCCGTCCAGCACGTTGTCAGCGGAGGAGAGGGAAGAGAGGGAGCTGCACCGGGAGAAACAAATGGGGGTGTCCTCCACCGCGTACTTCTGGACTGACTCCTGCTCCACGGGGGCTGGCTTGTGGGCAGTCAGCTTCTCTGGGATCTTGCTCAAGTTCTCGGCCGTCTGGAGAAGCCCCGTGGGGAGCCAGGCTTGCTTCCGGCCTGGGAGAGTTGGGTGGTAACTAGCACCCGAGAGCCCCACGGCGCCAGGGGCCGGGCTGCTCTTGGCCAGGTTCTCCAGCAGGGGGACATGCTGGTAAGAAGGGGAGAGTTTGATGGTGTGGACCTGAGGGTCGGGAGAAAGCTCATTGCCCGGCTCCTTCTTCCACTCAGGCTCCTTCTCAGGGGCGTTGGGGCTGGGGAACGTCACCGCTTTCTTAGCCCTGTCATGCGTGTCTCTCGGATCCAGTTTCTCCGGCTCGCCAGACTCTTTGACCTTGACCCCCGGCTGCTCCATCCTCTCAGGCCTGTGGACGAGGATGTTCTTCAGATCCAGCCTGCTGGGCCGCTTCTGGTATCTCTGCAGCTCCTCCTTGTAATCTAGGAAGGAGGCCCTGGTGCAGGGCTTCATGTGATCCTTGGTGCAGTAGCCGTCACTGGTGCTGCCGCTGTTCAGGCTGTCGTTGGACAAGCTGGTGTAAGCCTTCTTCAGCCTCAGCAGGGTGTGGGCCCGGCTCAGGTTCTCCCGCTTCACGAAGCTGCTGGCATCCGAGAGGCGGCACGGGGAGCAGGACTGGGCCCGGGCCTCGTGGACCTCATCAGAGCCGTACTGCCAGTCAAGGCAGTGGTCCTCCGAGCTCAGGCTGAAGCTGTCGTCCGAGGAGGTGTGGAGGGTGGAGATGTCCTCCACCAGCTTGTCGATCTTGGCCACCGTGGTGGAGATCTTGTTGGCCAGCTTCTCGGCCGCCAGCGACACCTCATCCTCGGGCAACGGCAGCTTCTTGGGCTCGGCCGGCTTGCTGCTCTCATCCTTCTCAGGCTCCGGGCCCCTCCGCTGGGCGATGGCCCTGGGCAAGGCCTGGCCCTGGAGGAAGGAGGAGTTGAGGAACATGGAGAGGATGGAGGCATTCCCGGTCTCCGCCCCCGCCGAGACGTTGGGCACCTCGTCGTCGTCGAAGCAGCCGGAGTCGGAGGCGTAGTCCTTCGCCAGGCTGTCCATGTGCCTCAGGGGCTTCTTGAGGCTCTGCTTCTCCATGGTGTCGAAGGCCTCCGCCAGGTGCTTCGCATCCAGCTCGGCCTCCAGCGCCTTCTGCTTCCTCACGTAGAGCGAGGGCATGCAGGAGCCCGGGGAGATGACGGCGGTGTCCTTGTACTTGAGGGGTCGGTTGGTGAGCAGGTTCCGGAGGGCGGCGGCGCTGCCCATGGCGATCATCTTGTGCTTGGAGTGGATGAGGTTGCGCAGCATGCTGACGGCCCCCAGGTCCCACAGCAGCTCCTGGTCTTTGGGGCTCCGGGCGGAGAGGTTCCAGAGGGTCCCGCAGGCATTGCTGACGATGGTGAGGCTGTGGGATTTGAGGTGCTGCAGCAGGGTCTGCAGGCAGTTGTGGTCCCGGAGCACTTGCCTGCAGGACATGGATCGACCCTCCGTTAGAATCACCCCGCTTTGAACATCAGAGAGTTAATGAACAACAACTCCACTTTGCCTCCTCGGCTGCCCCCCGTCAGAGCATCTCAAAGCACCTCAAAATCCTCCAGTTGATCCACCCTCACAGCAGCCCCATTCTACAGGGGGGCAGCTGAGGCATAAATGAGTCACCAACAGAGCAACCCAGGAGTCCTGAATCCCAGCTCCGCCCCCCCAACCCATTGGACCCCATTCCCCTCCCAGAGCTGGGAACAGAACCCAGGAGTCCTGAATCCCAGCTCCCCCCACAACCCACTGGACCCCATTCCCCTCCCAGAGCTGAGAATAGAACCCAGGAGTCCTGACTGCCAGTCACTTCCCCATTTCATGCCTCAGTTTCCCCATCGTAAAACGGGCACAATGAGCTTTGCAAGGTGCTTTGGGATCTTCTGGCGAAAGCCCAGACGAAGAGCGCACAGTATTTACAAAAACCCGAACAATCAACGTAACGCTCCCGGGATGGTAAGGTTCCCCGAGGCACCGTGAGTCTGTTCTATGGGGGAGGCACACACCCCAGAGGGGGTCCGCCGAGCTACCATGAATAATATTAGCATCTCATCAGGGATAGCCCACAGTGACAGCACATCTTGCTGCCCTCATACTCAGGGGCCAGAATGGATCCAAGGCAGCTGGGAATGACCCACAGCCCCTCCAGATCCCGCCCACCGACCAGCACAGCGCTTTGGGGTGGGGTGGGGGACTTGGGAGCAGCGAGAGGATCGGAGCTGGGTGTGGCAGCTGCCCCCAGGGCAAGGCTGACCTGTAATCCTCCCGGGTGGCGATCAGGCTGGACACGTTCCTCAGGATGCCGCCTCCGCTCTCGATGATGGCCAGCGAGTTGCTCTGGCACTTGTAGGTGAGGGTGCTCACCAGGAAGCCCAGGGCACCCTGCACCAGGCAGATGGCGACTTTGTTCTCGGTGCTGTGAGCGGACAGGTTCCACAGGGCGCTGAGGACACTCTTCAGGGTGGATTCCTAGCCAGGATAAAATCACCGTCAGCGTCCCTCTAGTGACAGGGCCTCTTCATATCTGTGAGTGCGTCTGCTTTGCACGTACACCCCGCCGCCGTTTGCACACTCACCGTAAGCATGCTCACTCCGTGCATGCCTCGGCAACGTTTGCACCTCCAGCTCACTGTACACATGCGTGCCATCCCCTATGTACACGTTTATAGGGAGCGTGCAAGCCATCAGCTGCTCTGTGCGTGCAAGGGCAGCCTTTGCACATGCAGCTCATTGTGAGCACGTAAGCTGTCCCCCGTTTTGTGTGTGTGCCAACGCAGGGTTTGCACCCGCAGCCCAGAGATCAGGGCTTGCGCCTCTTACCTTGGTGGCGCGCAGGGCGCACTGCATCAGGCCGGTCACGCTGCCCACCTCGCGCAGGGTCTTCTTGCTGTTGATGTCTGCCCTCCAGGAGAGGTTCCGCAGGATGCTGGAGACCACCTGGGGGGACGAGATGAGGATGTTCACGCACAGGGAGGGACATGGCCAGATTCCCGTGCTCAGCCCACCAGAGCTGTCAATACAGGACCAGAGCAGTTCGGTCACAGCCCAGCAGAGGGCAGCGTCACGACCCTCTTTCACCCCATCCGCCCTGCCACCCCAAAGTCTCCCAGCCCGCCCTCCTGTTCCAGCACCAGCTCCTGGGCCCTTTCGGATGATTCCAGGGCCCGCAGTGGAACAGCCAGGCGGGATGAGCAGCAAGGACTCAGCCAGCCTGCTCCAGGAGGAGCAGGAACTGGAGAATCCTGCACCCAACAGCACACGCTGGTCCTGGTGAAAGGCTCCAAGTCAGGGACCGGGCCAGGCTCTGCCCTGCAATCCCAGGCAGCCTCGCCTAGCCGTGCGTGCGCGCCCCCAAGGCACGTGGGGACCTGGAATAACTCAGGCCCTGTGCAGCGGGCAGGAGCCAGCTACATGTGCCCAGGTGTATGCCGTGGCTCAGTGCGCGTGGGCACGACCGCCCAAGCGTCTGCAACAGCCCCGGGGGAGCCAGTGTCCACCTACCTGGTGCAGCTCCTCGCTCTCGGAGGCCAGCTGGGCCACGATGGCCTGCATGCAGCCCCGGCGGGAGGACAGAGTCGCCTGCCAAGGGGAAGAGATGCGGGGGGTCAGATCCTGGACACGCACTCCCAGGGCAGCCCGCGGGGACCCCAGAGCCCCTGCCAGTGTTGGAAGGGACCACGGCTGGGTCACCCAACGCCCTGAAGCTTAGAGCCAGCTGAGATCACTGCTCCCCAGGCCCCTTCCCTGACCTCCTCCCCAGGCCCCTGGGCCCCATCCCCACCAGGATCCCTGCTCTGTCTGCATTCCCCTAACACCCCTGTCCCGCCCGCACCCCCAGGTCTCTGCTTCCCAGTCCCTGCCCCTGCGTCCTCACTCCCCTCCCCCCCGCGCTCCCCCCAAGCCTTTTTATCCCTTCCCCCCGACTCGTCCCCAGACCCCCACTCCCCAACCCCAGGGTCCCTGCCCCATCTTCCCCTGACCTCCTCCCCTCCACCCGTCACCTTCCCCAGTCCCCCACCCCTGGGTCTCCATTCCTCGTCCTCCCAGACACCTTTCCCAGCCCCCCCCCCCGCACCTTGTTCACCACATCCCCAAAGGTGAGGTTGGTCAGCGCCATGCCCGCGTATCTCCTCAGCGCCAGGTTCAGAGGGTCGCTGGTCATTTTGTGCATCTCATAATCCACCTGCAGCAGCTCAGCCACGGCCTGGAGACCACCTGGGGGACGATCCGGGGGGGTGGGTTACAGAGATGGACGGGCCCAGCCAGGCACTGCGGGGGGACAACACCCCCCACTCCTCCTTGTGCCAGGGATTCCGCTGGTTTGACAGTGAGGGGGTGGAGCTGGGGTCAGGGTGTCCCATTGAAAAGGAGCCAGGGTGCTGTATTCCTAGCCCCCTCCCCATGGGTTCCCCTCAGGCACCCACCCCACAGCCAGGCCTTGCCATGCAGGAGGGGGCTTGCTCTGCCCATGGCAAGGGGCACAGCAGCCCCCAGGGACTCTAACCCGTTGAGTCGTGTCCTCTGCACTCCCCGCCCACCCAGGGATGGGGGAGCAGAGCCCAGATCCCTCCTGGGGCCGCGTGTGGCTTACCCAGCTCGTTCATGGCCCGCCTGTACTCCTCGTCGAAGGAGAGCTTCATGACGGCGCAGGTGGCCTGGCAGATCTGCGGCTCGATGGGCACCGGCACTGCAAGGAGAGCGGAGGTGAGCGAGAGCGGCATGGGCCACACAAGATCCCAGCCCAGCCACGGATCAGACACACCTGGGTCCATTCGCCGTCGGGATCCCCAAATCCCAGCGAGGCGGGAGGGGACGGGGCTGTTTTCCCATCAGAGAGGATCTGTTTTGCTAACGGGACCAACAGACTCTCTAGAGCCAGTCCGCCCGGGGATCAGAACCAGGGGAGAGACACCTGTGCTTAACCATGCCCTGCGCGTGCTTCCGGCGCCCCTCCACCATGTGTGTGCACCTCGCACACCTGAGTGTAGCCATCCCTGCACACACGCCTTCACTTACAATCACACACATGCACTGACCCCCACACGCACACACCTGTAGGTGCACACGCTCAGCTGCACACCGACACACACACACAGCTGCACACTGACACGCACACACCATGTGCATACACACACTCAGCTGTACACCGACACACACTCAGCTGCACACTGACACGCACACACACCCAGCTGCACACCGACACACACCCACCGACACCCACCATGTGCATACACACACACACTCAGCTTCACACCCACCCACACACACACACACACCGTATGCATACACACACACACTCAGCTGCACACCGACACACACACGCACACCGACACTCAGCAGCACGTCAGCATGCACAAACATGCTTGCAAACCCCCTGTGACGGAGCAGGGAGCGGGGCAGATTTGACCTGGGAATGTTGCAGGGGGGTTGCATTGGGGATGGGGGACTTCCCTTGAAGGAAGCTACCTGAGCTGTAACCTGAGCCAGGAGGGGGGTTGGGAGAAGTGACCAGGGCCGGCTCCAGGCACCAGCCCACCAAGCTTGTGCTTGGGGCGGCACCTGGAGGGGGGCGGCGCGGC